CTGCACTTAGCCTCAAGGTTGCTATCTCTATTTCAGGGCCTGCAAGTACAAAAGCGTTTTTCCCCCAGATGTATCAATCTAACAGACTTTATGTCTCCCTGCAAACCATGTCTCAAAGTCCTCAGGAATGAGTAAGATCCTAGCTTGAGGCTGAAGATCCTATGAGGCAAAAAGGCACCTCCTCAGAGCTAGGTGTTGCAGTGCTGAACTTCTCAATTCTCACTCCCTCTTTGTTGCCCATCTACTTGTGTTCAATGCTCAAATTCATCACTAATAAAGACGACAGATGTACTCCACTTTTTTTAGTTTCCATCTATTTTGTATTCAAAATACAAGACTTCTTAACTCTGTTTTCTCTCCTCCACTGCATCCCTGCAGTGGACAGCCCACCTGCAGCCTCCCATTCCTTTCACCTCCAGAAAAGGAGAGGCAGTTTCTGCCTGTCCTCCAAACCCCTGCATTTCCTATGAAACACGAACTGAGACACTTTGAAATGTTTGTTTCAGCTCTCCTGCGGTGCAGTCAGGTAACACAGAACAAAAGGAAGCTTTCACTGACTTTTGTCTTTGTGTTTTGGCTTCTAAAAAGGAATATGGATTGTTCAGCAGAAGGCAGTAAGTTTTTCAAAGACACAGAATCCACATAAAGTTTTTTTAGAAGGATAATGCTGGCACTATAGAGGGACTGTAGCTTAGTTTCCTTCTAGTTATATCATCTACCTCGCACCTTAGAAGAAGAAAGTGATGCTGGACTACTCCACTTTCCATATTTGTAAGCACGAAGATGCTTTCCAAAGGAAAGACTTAAATTTATTGAGAAATTTCAAATATCAAGACTGTGCGTTGTGCCAGTTCCAATCACCTCTCAAATCTCATGAGATCATACCACCACAGGTATTTATCACACCTCCAGTAACTTGAGGAGTTAGAGATAATATGACTCTATCATGGTGAATTATATCACTGAAAGATTGCAAATATACGTAAATTGGAACTTTACTGAAGTTGCAAATTGCTGTCCTAAAGCGGAGAAGTATTTTGGATACATTTGTGCAGCTCAAACTCAAAATCACAGGAACATATACATAATTACACTAAGAGTTTCACCTTTTCAACACAGATTGACTGGGATTCTTCTCAAAAATGCCTGCAAGATGTATGTCTATATTCCTTTTATGATGAGTGCCAAGAAACAGACATTTCTAAGACATAACAGATGTCCATAGAGCAAAACGTTAGGATAACGCAGACCACACCTTAGGAACTCCTATTTTTGGCAATGATTAGACAGAGTTCAGATAATTAGCTTGGATTTAGACACCACGGACACTTAAAATTAGGTGACATGAATCACACCTTTTATGTGTATTACTTAAATTTCACTATGTGCCTGTGAAGCTACTGTGTTCTATTCATAGAAACTGAAACACAAAGTCAAATAATTACCAAGAATCACAAAGAAACTCAGTATCAAAACAGATTAACATGTACCAGTTAATAGACCCAGACTTCAATTACAGATTATGCTCTGTCACAATCTTCCTAATCCCAGCATTTCCCATGTTTAATCTCAAGCAATAGGTGAAGCTTTCCCTTTTTTCTACAACACGCTCTTTATTGCCTACATGTCATCATCCTTTCCTCACACATTCAAATCTCATGCCAGTATGAAACTCCATTACAGAGGTAATATAATCCTGATAAGTATTTTTCCAATTTGTGGTTTTTTTGTAGAATTTATAACTATTATGGGAACTACTCAGCCATGAAATGAGAGCAGATACTGGATAAGAAACAAGTTCAGACACAGAAAATGAAAAAGAAGGAAAATTAAGGGATTTTTTGCTATTAAATATACCAAATAACAGTTATGGTGGCCATCATCTTGACAAACACACCTACCTGAAGTGTTTAAAGTAGGACTCTGCTGCTTATGTTAGGAGTCAGTTCCACCGCTGAGATGAGTAACACAATCACATTCCACTGTGGACATGTGAAATATCAGCAATAATTACTTAATTAGTCAAAACTAGAAAGAGGTTTTGCACTGTGCTGTAGATACTGATGACCTTCCATGCTGTGAGCTGCATTTGTGTTTCTCCAAAGGTTAAAGATGCACAAATTGTTCAATACTTTCGCAGCCAATTATAAAGAAACTGCAAATGCTCAATAAAACCAAAGGGGGAAGTCAGTCCCTATAATCTTCCAAGCTGCAGATCGTTATCACCCATCTCTTCCCAAGATAACTAGGAAAAAATTCTTACTCATGTGAGATGCCCAAATGTAAAGGTTTTGAGAATACTTTGTGAAGATCTAGCTAAATGTAGCTTTGGACAGCTTTTTTCCTATCCAGTAAAGGAGCATAAATATATATTTCATAGCTGGATTTTGCACAAAGTATTTTCCAAAGCTTTGAGGTATATTCTTTCACTATTTGAAGAACAGAATGAAGAACCTGAAAGACTCTCTCTGGCAACTCAGCCTGGCACTGTTTAACAGGATCCCAGGAACACCAGGAAGCAGGAAAATGCTGCGTCGTGTTCTCTCTTTGCTAAGTTTTGAAAGCAAAAGGGAGCCAAAGGGAGGCTAGAAACCGGGGAAAAATCTCCAGGCTCCACATGGGGTTTCATTTAAACACTCTGCTGGGATACTTGCAACTCTGCAGCTAAGACCACAAAAAAAACCACAAGACCACCTGTGTGACTACCACATCTAGCCTTTGCAGTTCATCATGAAAAGCAATACTTGATAGCTTTTTTCTTTTATTTTTTAAAGCAGATTGTCACACGGTATGTCATATCCATCATTCTGTGCTCACTCTCACACTGAACAAGAGAAAGGAAAATTTGGAACACGCTTTGCGAGTGCTTTAATATTCTTTCAAAGAAAGGTTTTGTTTGAATCAATCTCAACTGTTCTACCAGTTATTCCAGAGGGAAAATATATATGTCTTCTTCTAATAAATTATGTGAATTTATGTGCATAGAAAGTGAAGAAAGTCATTAAAAGGTTTTGAACAGATTTTTTACTAGTTTATATGTCCCATACAAATTACATTTAGATGTCGATTTGGGAAAGCAACATCTGCCCAGAGTAAGCTGACATTTTTCCTCTTTTTCCATTTTGTTAATCAACCACTACCTGAGCAATTATTCATTATGAGTAACAACATTGGATATAGCACTTCTTTTCCCCTAGATTCCCAAAGCAAACTCTGTGTAGTGGGGTCACTTCCACTACTGACCCCAAGTGTATTACTCCAGGTGTGAGGAACCTTCAATAAGAAATATGCAGACTAACTAATTTTAAGTCAAAAGGACCTTTACGTGGAATTAATCTGTTTAGATCTTCTGCAGAGTGTAGTCTATATAAACTCAACACTCCTTATAGACAGATTATCTTGATTTGAAGGTATCAGGTAGATCATCCTTAGACCAGGATTCTCAGGTGTATCACTCCTACACACGTAGGAAACATCTTACCTTCTTACCAAAGGCAAGGAAGCATCTTCAATCATACCCACAGAAGAGGAGCACAGCTTTCAGACACACACAGATCTCTTCACCTGCACTGAATCACTAGCTTAGTTTCAAAAGAAAGGGAAAATCACTGCAACATTCATGGCACTAAATTGGAGGCTCAGTGTATATATGATGGGGTTTTGTTTCTTTGCTGCCTAGATTCTCATTGGAGCAGTAATTGCCATGGGCTCAGCAGACCGAGATGGTCGTCTCCATCCTGGTGATGAGCTGGTGTATGTAGATGGGATTCCAGTGGCCGGCAAAACCCACCGATACGTGATTGATCTTATGCATAACGCTGCCCGAAACGGCCAAGTGAATCTTACTGTGAGGAGAAAGGTGCTGCCCACAGGTGAGTGAAGGCTGGGAAAGGTGAAAGGAAAAACAGATCTCAATGCTGGCAGCACAAAGAGGTGCTGTTTTAAGAAAACAGAGAAAATTAAAATCAAAGTGAATGTTTGTGTCATTTTGAAGAAAGAATGATTGTAAATATGTGTCCCTTGTTTCTGTGACAAAAACACTACAGCTGAGCATTGTTTCCTTCAGAAGCGGAAACAATATCGGTAACTCCGGTGTGGTGATCATGAGTGCTCTGGATTTGTTCCATTCTGTCTTGGTCTGTGCTGTCTCCTCTTGTCCACTTTTGGGAAAAAACATTCACCTAAGTTAAAGCTGTTAAAGTTGACTGTGTCAATAAGCAAACAGAGAAAGGCTCAAAGACTGTTAACTGTTCAGGGCAGGAACTCATTTCACTCTTGTATGTGTTAAAAGCCCATTTCTGGTCTCACTGATGTCATCTGGAATTTCCCTCCCCCCGACTGCAGCACAAGCTGGCTGAAAACCTTCCGTATGGCACAAGCGGCTCCTAGGAACAGGGCCGGATCCTCCCTTCAAGCAGACACATTCAGAAAATAAACCTAAAACAATATGAAGAATTTGAAGTAAATTAAACCTTTAGACTAGCTCGGTCTCAATTCTTGAAAAACACTGGAACCTGGAAAAATGTGTGGCAGTATCTGTTAAAGCTTTAATGGGAGAATTTGCTGCCGTTCCATTGCAACCTTTGCTTACTCGGGGAAAGAAGTTTATTTAAGAACTTTTAAAACATTTGTGGTGAGTACACTTCACTGAGGCACCAGAAATGAGCAAAACCACGTTCCCAGCCTGTCCTGTCTTCTGCCTCCCCGTGCCCTAGATGCACTGTCGTTGCCTGCGCTGTTCCCCTTCGCTCCCCTGCCAAAAAGCTGCCCTCCCACTCACCTTCGTCTTCACAGTCCCCCTCCCACTGCGGCACCGCAGCTCCCTGCCAGCCGCGCTCTCGCAGGACTGACTTTCTTCTGTTACTGACTCCAGAGTCCTCCAGCCAGAAAGGTCCCCCTCCGCCCGGCGCGACGCCCCCTCGCAGCTCCCCCAGCGCTAGGAAAATGGCCAATAACCAAGGTAATCCGCCGAGCACTTGCGATTAGCACCTTTCCCGGGTCAGCCGGCTGTACAGACTGCAGGCAAAATTAGCAAGAGGATTAGCACAGAGTAGATGCCAGCCTTCGCTGCTGCTTGTTAAATATTAAATAAAAGGGTCTATTAGACACTCTGGTCTCCTGGCACAGAAAATTAAGCAAGCTGGTAAAACACCTGGAGTTATTCTTGGGCCTTGAGAGCGCCACACCGGGGAGTATAGTGTGTAACTCATTAATGTTTAAGCATTTCAGGAGCTGAACAGGACTTTAATTTAGTGTGTTACAACATAAACTTTGTGTAAAAAATTTAAAACAACTGATGTTGGACATGACTGAAAAATGCTATACTAACACATCAGGCCAATTGATTTCGTGCGAATTTCTCACTAGCATGAATGTATACAACAGAGGGATCTGGGGCTTTCCTTACCTGCCTGATAGCTGACGTACATACCTTAGCCCTCGCATGGAATTGCCATTTTGCACAGATACTTACCCAGATCTGGAACAGAAAATCACCATTCACAAGCTCTGGAAAACAATTTGATTAGGAAAATGTGGTATTCAGAACAACACAGATTAAAATACCATTTTTTCACAGGCAGAAGCAAAATGTAATTTTTCTGATGAACATCTATTGCACAGCTGACAATTGAATAGCCATTTAAACTTTCCCTCCTTTATCTTTTTTTTCCTATACTTAATGGCATTCTGTTGCATTCTTTTATGGCCAAGCCAGCTCTTGGTCATTCTGCAGGGTAAGATAATTTCCTTTCTGTTGCAGCCATACTGACATAAACAATATTCAGCTTTCTGAAACATGACAGCCAGAAAATGAGATCTCTCTTGTCACTGACTATGGCATTTAGTTGCAGATTTGGTTCAATAACTCTTGGAGATTTTCAATTCTAATGCAGGAGTATAATAATTGTTTGTTTTTCTTCCTCTTTATTCTCTCTAATCACTTTATTTCATAGTTGCAGAAGGACTGCTAAAGGACACACCTGAATGAGAAAACAACAGCTTGTCCTTGGATGATGTTTATTTTATTAATATATACACACTGAAGGTCTAATTTGCAAGCTCTCTTCCTAGGATGTATGTGTGTATGTGTAAGCTCTTCAGGTGTTCAGTAGAATGACTCTGCCACTCTCATTGCTTTGAACAGAAAACGTATTCCTTACATTCATCCGAAAGTTCTGTATTAAAACTGTCAATAAATGCTGATTTGTGTAAACAACTTAGATCTGCGAGGAATATAAATCTTTTATCCCATCTGGAAGTATAACTTTACTGTTTTCAATTGCCAAAATGCTTGTACTAAAAAAGTGTGTAATCCCACAGGATTTAACTTGTTCCCTGTTCTTGTTACTATAAAGCAATACTGAAGTGTGGATGGACTCCATTTTCACTTCTGTCCTTTGAACTCGCCACACAAGAGCATCTTCAAAACCTTTAAATGACCACTGCTTCGGTCACGACACACACAGAAAAACTATTTGTGATTATTTTTCATTGTATAACTGCTCTGTTCCATGAACATCTTTTGAGCATGCTAATCAACTTGTAAGAAGAACATTATGCAGCTAATCCTAATGACTCTATGTTAGCTGCCTGCTTAAATTCTTTTAATCCAAACACAAATAATTTTATATTGGATTAGATGGTCACATTTTCCTCCTGATGACAGATCAACCAGCAGAGAAGGCAATGGTGCTTGCTAACTTTTTTGCAATCCAGATAGCCAGTTTCTTACTTTCCTTTCCTCTCTTTTAGATAGCTTAGCAGTGAGTGTTCATGCTTGCTTTATCTGACTGCCCTTGAAGGTTTTGCATAATTGTGTAGATTCCTGTCTCTCTGCATCTATTACAGCTCTTAGGTTAATACTTGCGGTAGTCTGGGCCATAGACAGCCAACTGTATTCATGTTGCATTAGCAAATGTAGTGTAAGTCACAAAGCCACTGAGCAAGTCAGACTGTAATACTGGTGCGATTTATGTTGTAGGAGAACCGTGCCCAGAGAATGGCAGAAGCCCAGGCTCGGTGTCTACGCACCACAGTTCGCCAAGAAGTGACTACACTACTTATGCTAACAGTAATCATGCTGTCTCAAGTAGCAACGCTACACCCCCCGAGGGCTTCACTTCTCACAGCCTGCAAACCAGTGACGTTGTGATCCACCGCAAGGAGAATGAAGGTTTTGGCTTTGTTATCATCAGTTCCCTAAACAGGCCCGAATCTGGATCCACAATAAGTAAGTAAATCACATTTTTCAGCTTATATTTTTCCAAGTTCACCCCTAATTAAAAAAATTAATTAATTAAAACCTGACACCTACTAATTAATCACTGCACAGGTTAAAGCTGAAGGGACTCTCAAGGTTGCTTCCAGGGGCACCATTTGTCTGTTGTGTCTTGGATAAAACCAAAGGTTATTCTGGCCTCCGAGGTTCTCTGCTTCACACACTCATTTGGCTGCCAGAGTACGACAGGATTCACACACAAAGTAGATTTTCTCTGTTCCTATATCCCAAAGAGACACTCTACAAGTAACTACGGTGCATAAATTATTCCTCCACACACAATTGGATTATACTTTTTTTTTTTTTAATCAAGATGAAGTTCAGGAACTTGAAATTAAAGCTGAGATCACAGCAAGCCCCATGACAGCAGCTGTCCAGTTAGGGCACTGCAGAAGCAACTGGAAAATGGGAAAACTGGTTAGACAGAGGTTCAGGGAGGTTGATCTTTTAATTAGCTGGACTATACATAGTATAAAAGTTATGACTGCGTACAAGGAGATGGTGAATATAGTGGCAGGATCTGCCCTTAATGATTATAGTTCGCTTTCTGTCCAGAAAACTAATGTTTGATGGGGCTCAACTTTATTGCTTAAATATAGGCATCTGGAGCCATTTGAGATGTCCTAGGTACCTCTAGGGAGAGGTCAGGCAGATGTGACATAGGACCTACAGGAGACTCAGACCCTTTGGTAGTGACAGCTGCAGGCATTTAACCAACTGTGAGCTGAGCCCCTTGGAAGGAAGAAGCATAAAAGCCTTTATGTTGAGAGACATCCACATCTCCCACCAAATCCATCTGAAATTGTGAATGCTAACCACTGCTGAAAAACCAAGACAAGTGAGAACATTTGTCATTTTGCAAGTTGCAGCCCAATGCAGTCCTTTTCCTGCATTCAAAACATGCTTTGAAGGAACTGTTCTTTTGCCCAAAACTGCTTCCTGAGGAAATAAAATAACAATTTCAACTCTTAGGGCCAAACTTCACTCTTCTAAATTCATAACGGAAAAGCAACTAAGAGACTACTGGGAAAGCCATATCTCACAATAGCAAATGACCTCAGAAAACTTCTTTGCAGTATTTCATGATCATGCAGTTATTAAAAGAGTTGCTTTTCATATTACCTCAGCTGAATTTTAAAATTGCGTGATTGCCAGAATTAATATTTTAACAAAACCATGGATAATTAGCCTCTTGGGACTCTGAGTTTTCACTTTATTGAACATAATAGCCAATTGGAAGTTCTTTGCAGAAGATCAGACAGGAAAAAAAAAATATATAGAGAGAGGACATTGAGATACATGCATATTAATCAGTTAAGTCAGTCATTAATTTTTCAAGAAAATTATTTCATAGGTAGGGTTTGTGG